CCTTACCTATTTACTTTAGGCTGCTGAAGCTGTATTAATTTTCCTTTGGTGCACTTTTCTTGCCATCTGTAATCGCCTTTAATCATCGATCTTGACCGTTCAAACACCTTAGAAATCAGTCCCAACCCGATTTGACGCTTACCCCACACAATCAGCGTTATGTAAACGTTTGGGTCTGAGGAGAGTTTACCGAAAAGAATTCTTAACCCTTAACTAATTTCTGATCTTGATTCATGTGAAGACAATGGGAATATTTGCTTTGCTGGAGAACAGCATTGCCCCTAATTGGTTGAAGATTTTGAAGTAGTATCTGAAGGTCAGCACTCGGCTGGAAGAACCGAAGGTTGAATTAGACTTTCTTAATGAATGCGTGCAGGCAAGCCACTATCCACAACACTTTTGGAGAAAGATACGGCGCTGTGGCCTCTACTCCAACGCAAAAACTTTGAAAAGTCGCACTCAATTATGTGGATACCATCCGCGTTACACTGTCGGAGCTGGAGAGATACATTTTGCTAACGTTTCCAGCGGTGTTAGGCTTGTCTGAGGATCTGAGACAACCTTTGGCGGAATATGTGGAATTAGTTAAGCTGAAAATGGGAGTAAGAAAGCGAAGGAAATTACTTAGTACGCTTAACAACCAGGTCCCACAATTGACCTTTATGAATAATCCGGAACGGTATGTGTTCAACCAAAATGCTCATAGGGCACTCATCTTCACTTATAAGGAGCGATGTTCTCACCTCCAACTAGATTCACTCTGGCTTCGGCGGATGAAAATCAATTTCACTCTTCTCTACGGCATAATATACGCACAACTTTGCTCAACCAGTACGGCCATCGCACTACATAATGGCCCATCCTATCCCACTCGTAATGGGAAATATATACTATCCTTACAAGAAACAAAAAAATATCCGCTTAAAATTCTTCTTGGTGTCGTACGCCCATCTATGGAATAAACCCGTTGCAATTAAGGACCCGCGAGTCTGTCCATTTTTAAAACTAATTTAAAAGTTACGGGGGACGGCAACGATCATCGTGAATAAGTTACTAGATGTGATATAGCGGTGCTCACTATCCACTGACTTACACGTTACTGTCGTGCAGAGGACAGGGTAGCCCCATTCACCAAGCGACGAGCTTTCCAAACTTAAGCCGCCAACTAACTTATGGCATTATAAGCATTTTGGTCTGTGTATTGATTACATAGGAATAGTAGGTCGAGTTGAATAATATAGGTCGAAATTCGTCACATCTAGACTCACTCAGATAGCCGTCACACGCCCGGGAAAGCACTGTACGCGCGTTTCATCCTTTCGGGAATCGTCAGCAGTGCGCGTTCCATCGGACCCTTGGTAGAGCTCGAACCCGCAACTCGACTGTTGCCAGTCCGTGGTTGCGACCACTGAGCTACGGGGGATGGCAACGATCATCGTGAATAAGTTACTAACTATGATGTAGCGCCGCTCACTATCCACTGACTTACATGTTACTGCCGTGTAGAGGACAGGATAACCCCCTCACCAAGCGACGAGCTTACCAAACTTAAGCCGCCAATTAACTTATGGCATTATAAGCAGTTTGGTCTGCGTATTGATTACATAGGAGTAGTAGGGGGAGTTGAATGGTATAGGTGGAAATTCTTCACATCGTCGCTTGCTGTTGACCATTCCCGAAAGGATGAAACGCGCGTACAGTGCTGTTCCGGGCGTGTGACGACTCTCTGAGTGAGTCTAGATGTGGCGAATTTCCACCTATAACATTCAACTCCCCCTACTACTCCTATGTGATCTAAAAGCGTTTCTTTTCATGCCATATGTGCTCAAACTTTTCGACCAACAATCCACTAACTCGCTCATGGAATCTGGCCCGAACAACATATGACAATCTTAACTAGCACATAATGTTACATATTATATACGCAACAACACACTGCATAACTCTTCCACATTGAATGCAGTTTATGCCTAACATAATAACGAAACTCGTTGTACAAATGATTGTTCCACAAAAGCGAACATATCTCGCTTGTCGGGAAATATGCCCATTTATTTATTTATTGTGGACTTTGATTAGTGATACATACATTCTATCTTCGATTCTCATCAGGGACTCCGTTTTCGTGCTGATGTCGCATTTATCTTTTCCACTCATCTTTACGGTATATGTTGCAAGTGTCGTATTAGACACCAAAGTATCTGATGTGGGTGTTACTTCTGGTCCCTGATCCTAAGCCACGCTTAATAATGAATTTCCAGTTTGTTTCGTTACAGTACTCATCAGTTGATTAAAATCAGCACAGGTACATCGATTTGGGGACGCAATACCATTTCAATCCACAGTAATGCATACACTACCGTGGTCTACTGTTCAACAAGACCGTCCATCGACCTCAGACACCGGTGATACGAATGTGTTAATGATTCTTGGGTAGACACACGTTTCGTTCCCCGCTTTTTGCATGACGGATCGATCTCACAAAACCCGCTGTGTCCGTTGGTTATTTTCGGAGTAACTCCATACCCCAAACTTTGAACCGAGCACGTCGCCGAATTTGAACTTCGGAGCATTCGTTATATACCATCACTCATAACTGTATGGAGGCCCACTTGGTATGTTCTAACAGTGTTCGCCGCTCTATATAACGTCCCATGGACGAGTACACACAAAGCAATTGAGATTCACGACATTAGGGTCACTCAGTGAAAATGATCGTCCGCTTTGAAACCAACTTCCATCATGGCTAGGCTAAGCTTACTAGATGAAACCGAAGTTCCCTGGAGTTGTGCACCTCGTTGGGGTCACCTTACACGGCACTACCTATCTGTTTCGACCACGGAATTTCAAACGTTCTCTTGAATTTATTACTCTCAAAAGCGAATGCATCTGTCACTTAAGGCAGGCTTGTCAGTACCAAACAGCAATGTAAGTTGTACTAATCTTATTTGTCATCTGAAGGGTATTAGTGTCTATTTTTCTGAAATCCCATAAGTCGATTATGTCCATACTAGAGGCCGACACTCAAATCTACTATCAATGTTACACCCTCTGGTGCAAACCATCCGCACTCATTCCATATTAGTTTAATCGGATAATAATGTATCAGCTGTACGCCGTAACGGCGCTTTGCTGCCACGCGACCACCACCAGTCGCGCGCGGGCTGAGTATACCGCGAGGACGACAACCCCTACGCAGATTCGAACCGGTGACCTTATGGTTGCAAACCAAACGTGCAGGCCACTCGGCCACCGGCCGACAGTTTAATCAGATACTTTTTCTACCACCCCGGATGGCCGGCAAACACTACATTTCGTCCCCCGAAATTCCTTCATAGAACCTCTATGAGAGGTCCGAATCCCTTGTTTATCATGGAGCCAGGACGAATAATGGTCTATTCCAGCTGACCTAGAGCTGGCGACCCCAACTTTTTAGATTAGCGCCGTATCCATGTTCTTTTTGTCGTAGTTTCTGTTATCTCTAAGGTTCGTTATTCGATAATTTTCAAACCATGTACCGTTCAAAGAGCTGTGTTCTTAAAAACAGATCTGTGTTCTTCAAAATGGTCCTTATTGACTTGGTCGAGTTTTTATACCATTGCTAGAGCACTGTCACACATTGGTCACTAGTATTAACCATGTGTTTTGATATCGATACTGCTTTTGACTTCATAGCCCCCAAATGTTCACTATATTTCCATGTGTAGCAAAAGCGAAGTTCTGAAATATTCAGGCTGCGACAATCTCCTGTGTATGTGTATATATCAGGCAGGATTAGGGTGTGCTGTTGGTTGTCGTTAATGTCTGTTATCGACTTCCTTTTAAATTTTACAGCTGTTGAAAACCTGTAATTCTTGTGTAAAACAAACCATAGGTCGATTTTTCAATCTCTCAATTGCACATCTAAAAATAACAGTGATTCTTGAATACCTGAGCTTTCAGATATTCATCTTTCACCTTCATTACAGACATCTTCCAAGGTTGCTAATGCTCCGCCGCTATGCCCATTCCTGACCGAAGTCAGATTGGGATTAATAGAAAGGTCTAGGTGTTTGGTCAACTATACTTGCGTCGACAGTATCGAAAGTGGAAGTCCCTACCGAATACTGGAGTTTGCGACTTCTTCTTGGGCATCCATCTTTGACACCTACGTTCTATCGCTGCCGGTTGCAGAATGGATATCGTAGTGCCGTGGTTTAATCCACTATTGTACGGCTACCACTCATTAGCCCTTCAAAAACTGACCATGTTAGACAGCTGGTGTCCTCATCTTCGCTTCTTTTTGGTAGCAACGTAATTATGAGAAAGTGGTTTCAAACGCCAACCTATGTGCGACATAAGGGGCCCTTAAAATTTGTCATATCCCTTGTCTCATCAGGTTCCTATAATTAAGTTTTTTTACGGCGATACATCGATTCACATTTCAAGCATGCCGATCTGTGTTGGCTAAAGCCCATCAGTTGCTTGGTACTCCGAGACAGATATTACTGTATCCCTTCTCCCTGATTTGATCCAAAAATCTGGGTTGAATTAAATATCACCTGTGGCTGCACGTGGTTTATAATATGACTCGAAGTTTGTTTCCATTGCATCTCTACTGTCTCCATTTTCTCTCTTGCAACTAGTTCCATAACTGATTGCGCACGTTTCTATTAAATTTTTGATCTTTCTTTCTTTACTGATAACATCTGAAGTTTTATTACAGCACACATGCCTAGGTCTTCTCACCAATCTCATCTTAGATGCCATCCATTGGTCAATGAATTTTGTACTATCAGTGCTGGTCGCCAGATGACGCGCATGGTCTAATTTCGTGACATTAACTGGACGTTTGCTTTGGATGAATGCACTTATGACAGCAGTTTAAACCGAGACGTTTAACAGTGCCCAGTAAACATGAGCACTAATTGTTGGGTACCAATTAACTGACTAACTCGTATCGACGCCACTGTCAAATCTGTTCCCTCGCCTTTTATGTGTCCTTGCCTTCTCTCATTCAGTTTTTACGCCAGGAGTACGGTGATCTACTGTCGCCTCAAACAGAGAACGGTCAAAGCGTAACGTTATCGATTGACTTGGACAATTTGCCAGATGATCACGTACAGTTGGCGCGCAAATGCGCTCTTCTGAAACGAAATTGTATTGCCTCCGTGTTCTTCAAGTTCTTTGACTTGCAGGCGAAAATGGACCCAAAATCACATGCAGAGCGGGCCGTCATCCACTACCGCACGGACGAGACTTTGTAAGCATTTCCCTTTTGGCTCGTCTTTTTGTGTACATAACTTGAATGCACCGCCTTGAAGCGTGCACGTTCAATCCATTGTAACCTGAGTTTCTTGAAACCTATGCTTAGTAAGTATATATTGTTCATACCTACCTGTATTCGTCGCCCGCAAACCAATATTGCAGTGTTCGTTCCACTTGCATCATTGCGCTGACCTTCCCCATAAAAACGTATATATATATATATATATATATATATATATATATATATATATATATACGTTTTAGGGAGAGGCGCAATGATGCAAGTGGAACGAACACTGCAATATTGGTTTGCGGGCGACGAATACAGGTAGGTATGAACAATATATACTTACTATATACTATATATATATATATATATATATATTATATATATATATATATATCGGGGATAATTCATCACGGTCCACTCTCAGCCAGCAGGCTTTGGCAAGTCTAGAAAAGCGTCAGACAGCGCTGTTTCGACCTTATAGGTCCTGTCAGTGGTGAGCCTTCCATCGGACCCCTACCGGGTTCCGACCTCGTGACTTCCGGATGCCAGCACCTAGTACCACTTCGCCATGGAGACAGCCGCGGATCTGCGTGATTGACAGTTGACTATGATATAGCCCGGTTCATTTTCCACTGACATACCAATGGTGGTTTCGATTGCGCTCCATATCCTGAATTCTTTCCAACCATCAGCACTCCTTCTCCTTGTGTCCCCAACCAGGCAGACTTGTGGATCCAGCGGCAGCAAAACATGAAGTAAACGATTTCATCTGCTGCCACCAGGTCGACGGCTGACCATCTCATGGTCTCTTCCAGCCAAGTCCTGCACGAGCGAAAAGGGCGTGGTGGGGCAAATGCTCAGCTGGTATACGCAAGGCATGCCCAACCATCTTAACTGACGCAGCAAAACCAGCTTGTTGAAGTGAATACTCGCATTTTCTAAGACACGGCGTCTAACTTCATTGTTGCAGCTGTGTTGTTGGCACCACATAAGATCAACCCCCTCAAATACCCATTATCGAAGGCCGAGAGCCGGTGCATGTCATCCACGCGAACTGGCCACGACTCACTTCCATATAACAACAACTTCCGGAGGTTGGCATTATAAACGAGACCATTTAGTAAACGAGAGACATCCTGACGACGCCACAAGTGTTTTGGGTTGACAAACGCCGCCCTAGCTTTGGCGTTACGGAGGGGGACTTCCTTCTTAATAGTGCCCCCAGCAAACACGCAGCTGCTTGTTCAAGTTGTGGACCTTCAAAAGTGAGCATGGGAACGGGCGAGTACCGATCCTGGGGCACCACTTTACACTTCGATGGAGCTAAGCGTATTCCGTATCTAGATGTCTCAATCGCCGAACGGTTTAGAATGGTTTGCCTTCTTTATGAGTCGCCACTAAGTAAGGCAATGTCATCGGCATAATCTAAATTGGTCGTCCGCTTACTTGGTCGTAACTGCAGATCAAATTGTTGGTAATCTTCCGGAGCTCTCGACAGGAGGTCGCAAATTGAAGAGGAAAGGGAACATAGAGCAGCCCTGTCGCAAACTGCTATTGGCAGCGGAGGGCGAAACCTTGCCATAGACCCTCTGCTGGAAATGTGGAGGTAGAGTGGCGTAGGATGGCAGTGTACTTCTTTGGGGACCCGTTTTTTAGCAAACAACGCTATGATGCAGGTCGACCAACCGAATCGAATACAGCACGGATATCTTGGAATGCAACGACTGTAGGCGTCCAGTAGAGGTGGCGGTATTCGAAGACTTGGCGGAGTGAGAATATTTGATCTACACACCTACGGTCAGGACGAAAGCCAACTTGTTCTTCCCGGTATTGCGATTCATGATTTGAGGATAGTCTACGGAGTAGATGGATGCCAATAGCTTGTAGGTAACCGAAATGATACCAATCCCCTGGTGCTTGGTGAATGAAGTGCGAGCACTCTTCTTAAAAATCGGGACAATAACTGATTCGCATCTGGAAGAAGGCACCGCCTCAATCTAGATTTTGGAGAACAATTGCTCATGATAACTGCGCCTCCATACTTGAGCAGCTCCGGCAGAAGTTTCTCTGAGCCGACAGCCTTGAATTGTTTCAAGTATCGAATCGCAAGGCTGGTCCTTGCTTTACTGGGTGGAGCAAGTGTGACGACTCAGGGCGGGCAGCTGGGTTTGCAGGACATGCAACTGTAAGGTGAGGGCAAATTAAACTGGAAATGAAAATGTTTGGCCCATCGATTCAAGTGTCTCTGTAGGTTGATAGTCAGCGATCCATCCGAACCAGACTTTGTGGCCTGTTGATCGAATGGGTTGGAAGGGCCTGCGAATATTGTCGGAGAGGGCAGCGGCCTCCATTTCCGAAGCACTCCGAGACCACCAGGCTTCACGGTCACTGCGTAGGCTTTGCTTGAGCTGCGGACTTACAGAACGGCGCACATCATGCTGTTTACACTCCGCTGGAATAATCCTGCGGCTGTCAAATAGATCCAAGGTGCGCGTGGATATCCAGACCTTCATATGGTGCGGAGTAAGACCACAGACTAACTGTCTTCTGCATAGTCCTCTGTTCATTAATGTCTTGCCGCAGGTCGCAGCTGAGTGCATCGGTCAAGGAAGACTAATATCTGCTCAACCGGAACTGTATTTACTTGTTTTCGTGGAACCCAGCCTTTGCTATTTTACTTGTCTCGTGCACATAGCGTTTCTGTTTGTCCATATCTGAGTTAACTACCTACACACCTTCTCGCAGCCAGGGCGCATGTCATTTCACTTCACGTGTTCATCGTCCTTAGTGCGGGCGCGATATTAATTTCGCCCTGAAAGACAGTTTACGATGGAGAAGTCCGTTCAGCTCTCCTGTTTGGTTGCGAAACCTGACCAATCCGATTAACAGACTTTCGACCATCGCGGTTTGCGCACCTCAGCTCACTTCTGGCGGGAACACAGCGTCAGCAATGAGCGTGTTCGGCTTCGCATATTTGGTGTAGGAAGAGCAAGGGAACCGCTCGGCACCGTTATATAACGCACTTGGCTCCGTTGGTTGGGTCTTATGTTGCACTTGCCTGCACACCGACTTCCACATCGCACGTTGTTTGCGTGCTAGTGGTATGAGTGGAATAAGAGGAGAGGAGGTCAAGCGGTGATTTGCTCAAGAAGAATGAAACCATCACTTCGAACTTGGCGCCGGCTGCTTTCTCCCGACTGAGGGACCAGGGTCCGTGGGACGGTGAACACCTTTGGTTGGATACACTAGCTGACCATGCTAGAAGCTGGCCTCAGGGGCGTTTCTGTTGCGACTTTCTTTGTCCCTCTAAATCCTGCTTATCTTCTTCCTCTAACCACGATCTCAGTTTTGATGCAGTTTGTCACTAACCAGTATATTATCTATAGCTTTTTGTATTCTGTAACTTTTTATATTTACCTTTTCATGTAACCTTGTGTATTGCAGCCAGTGTGTAATGAAGCGGATGGTTTCAGTTCAATGTTATCCGAACACTGCTACGCAATTCCTCTTTTTACCGTCTAATCCACTTATTTGATTAACAGATACATCCAAGCTTTACACGATCGAGTTACGGTGATCTTTAGCACGTTGTTCAAAGATCCAGACGACATGTTGATTGGTAAAGTTTTCGTACAGGTGAGTCATCATCACTAAATGGATACTTCTCTCCATTGCATCCAAGATTGAATTGGTTCACTTGTTTGGCAACAGCTGACACTACGTGTAAAGTGATTCATCTGATGTATCTGTGCGTAGCTATTCCTCATCTCGACTTATTGCATGTACTTATGAAGGACTAGTAACCACTGAACTCGGTTCACTTATTGTAAAAGCTAAAACTGCTGACTTGAATCCGCGATATTTGTGGCGTCAAAAAAGAGTTTCCCCCACTCTGAAAAGCCATGTTTACAAGGCTACAGTGAGAGCCATTCTAATTTCTGGAACCTAGACTTGGTCCCTTCGGTCTGAGCCTCTGAGGCGCCTCCAACTCTGATCCTCGCTGCCTACCGAGCGTTGCTAGCGTCAGGTGGCACCAGCGTGTCCACAACTATGGTGTGCGCTAACGAGTACTAGGAGTGATAACCAGGCTAGTTCATTAGAGAAACAGATAGCAGCGAATAAAATGCTTTGCTATGGGCATGTACTACGTATGCCCTGTCACCGCTTACCGAGGAAGGCCTTGTTTTGTTTGCTACATGTAGGGTGGCGCAAAGCTCCAGGTGGACAGAAGTTAAGTTGGAAACGGGAATTGAATTCACTGACCATAAAACTTGGCACCGTTGGTCCGTCCTGCCTTCCCGGCTGGAGTCCACGTGACACGTCTTGTGCTTGACTAGAGACGTTACAAGACAGGGCTCGCAGTCGGCACCAGTGGTGCGTATGCTGCCGTCTCCTAGTCGGTGCCTGTTTAGACTGTGTTTGGTGCTGAGTTATCTGCGGAGCAATGGCTGATTATGACGCGGGTCAGGGAAAACCGCAAGAAAGTTGTCTCGCTGATGCCGCCTTTGCACAATAGCCAGCTGTTTGTTACAGTATGTCGTTGACAAGGTATAGGGGACTTGATCCCAGATGTTTGCCTAGGGCACTAAGGTTTTACGCTAGGTCCCCCTTCCATCCCTCTTATTATTGTTCATTCCTTAGGGTACCCTGGTTGTACGGCAGCGAAGCATCAGTCCAATCAGCTGATGTACTGCTGTTGATGTGGAGGAAGAGGAAGGACTCGTATGAACACAGTGTATAAAAGTGAATTCATGCCTCACAATGGTGTGCTCAACTGATCTACTTTGTTTTGTGTTTGGATTTTGAGCATTCATAGAAGCGCTGTGAAAACCATAATGTATGTCACTCGGGCGTCACTTTTCCTCTAACTCTCCCTCTGTGATGGCATTAACTTACCACATTTGAGCTATTCATCCGAGTAAATTGTATCTGTAGGTTTTAAGGACCGCCTGTCGCATCCGTTCGTTGGGTTTTGCACCACGGAAGTGAATGGGCGGTTGACGTTGTCCATCCTTTTCTGACTACTCACTTTTCGTGTTTCTAATTCTGCAGGAGTTTACGGAATCCAGGAGGCGCATTGATCGGGCTCCCCAGGTTCTGTACTCGTTTCGTGTCCCACCCGCCGAACTGCAGGGTACCGATGCTGCGGTAAATGATTCTGTGGCCTACATCACCTTCGGTACGTTACATTTCCCTGTTCACAGACTGACGGCGGATCTCATTACACCTCGTATCACCGGTGCTGCGTACGTCTGTGTGTGTGTGTGTGTGTGTGTGTGTGTGTGCAACTAAAATATCGTTCTAGCTAGCCGCTGCACCAAACGCGAAGCACCGCACACCCGAGGTCGCTCATGCACGTCGGAATATTATCTTTATGCTTATTCAAATATTGGCCTCTGGTTAACTCTCTTTGACCCTTTGAATCCTAAATTAATTTACCTATAACTTTTCCGTTATCTTTTATGTCGTAAGATAGATTGTGGTCAGTAATAAACATAAAAAGAAAGAACAAATTTTTGTAACTATTTTCATGTTTATTTTTAAGGTGGCACTTGTAAGTACCGATAAGAACATAGGTCATCAACATTGTCATCCTGAAGGTACGTTACTGAAAATGACACACTTGACAACAGTTCTTTTTGTGGTCACAACACCAAAAAACATCACAAACGAACATCTTGATTGGATTTTTAGAATAAGACAATTTCGCATCTTTCCCTTTCTGCAACAAATGTAGGCCAGTGAACGCCAAGATTCTGTGTCCTGATGTTTTTAGCCGCAGAATACTTGTTTTTCCTTCGTCTCTTTAGTTCGTTTGGTGACGACATTGTATTGACTGAAGGGCGACCTCTTTTTCACTCGTCTGATTCCTACAGCCACAAGCCTCATTA